TTTTAAATACTGTTTTAAAAATATTTCAATATCTGAGGAAAAGGAGAAACAAATATAGGAGGTAACGATTAAATAACAAGTTTGTGACAGTATCTGGATGTTTGGCCTTTCATGTCCATTCATAATTGAAATCACACTGGACTGTGTTGCAGGTGCCATGCTGTACCATTCCTCTAGTCTACTGATCCTATTGTTCTTCACACTTTCAGGGTGAGGTCTGCTCTCTTGTTGATGCCCATGCGCTCCTTTCATTAACATTAATGGCAGGCAAGGATGTGCATCAGTAGGAGAACAAAAGGGATATTTAGCTGTCACTTACAATTCAGATTCAGGAAGAAGTGGATCTGCCTTACAACTGACAAGCCACAGTTTTAAAGACTGCTTTAAACAGGACAGCTTTTTGCCACCAGGAAAGTGTGATGACTAAGTAAAGAGCTCACTACAACCCTCAGTCCAATGAAAGGGCATCCTGCAGTCCATTTCAAGCTGGAACAACTCAGGCCAAAAGGCCTCCCCTCAAACCTCATTCCCTGATTTTACCCCAGACTTTTTGCTAGAACTGGTATGTGCAAAAGCAGACTGTATTCACTACTACATTACAATGTCTCCCTCAAAGAAGTTTTCTTCTTCTGCTTCACTGTATTAAAACTGATGGTTTGCATTTCAGAAATTCTTGGGAGTTAAGACAGGTCTCAGAAATTTTGCACCAGTACCTTACAGTAAAGAGATGCAGGGTGCCCCTGACTTCTAAGGTCCAGTGACAGCTATGGACATCTTCGCAAGGTGCTGGGGAGTTTTTAGGAATGAGTCATTGGGGAGAGAGAGAATAAATCAGTAACACAAACACAAATTTTAGACAATGAAAAATTGCTGCAAAGGTGTGAAAAATGGGAAGGTACTGAAGCTGGCACTGCATCTGCCATCAAGAACTGTTACAAGAATTTACAGGTAAAAATATCTTCCACAGTAAATGCCATAAAATCTGTTCTCAGCTCAAGTATTTTCTTAATTGATAAACAACGTTCAGGTCTAACACGAGCACATACATTCATTCCAAGGGCTCACCATACTTCCACATCTAATTATTAAAGAGGTTAGAGGACTTAAATTGCATTTAGAAATACTGTCATATTTCTTCTGTGGCATAACTTACACCTTGCCTAACTTCTGTCTTTGCAGTCAGACCTCACAGTGTGGTCTGAGACATCAATGTCTCAGTGCTGAGCATAAGGCATCAGCAAAACTGATGCAAACCTTGCATCTTACCAGTGCCATCCTCCTTTCCTGTGCCACCTGGCTGAATGGGAACAGCAGCTGAATTATTGCCTTCATGCATATGGGAGACAGCAATGTCCTGAAGGTGCTGTACAACAACCTCTCATCATTCTGAGCGGTGATTTCATGCTTGGCTGTCCTGCCCTTCACAACCTTGCCCTTACCACAGAAAGGAACTAACTAACTTTTTCACATTTATAATACTTTAAGGTGACCTATGTGAAATGTTCTAAACATCAAGCCAAATAGATCATATACGGAAAAGATGCAATATTTTCAAGAATAGAATCTGTAAGAAAGTCACTGTTCTGTAATTATTTAAGGCTACACTGACAGGAAACAGATTCAATTCAAGAACGGTAATCTCCACATGGAATACTGGCACACAGAACATTAATTTGATAAATTTTTCCAAGTACTTACTGTACTTTTGAACAAAGGCAAACAACAAAAAGCTATGAAAAAAACCACAGCCAACTCTAAGGAAAACACAAGTGCCTCTAATTTCTTACTGATACTTTGTTCTTTAGAAACTCTGTTCCGTGCTTAAGACGTAACCGAATGCACAAAACCACAATGTATGTGTAAGCCCTTGTGCAAGGTTTGAAAAAACCACAATATCTAAAGGCAGATTTCAAATACAAGAGTATAGGTTTGCACAAGCAATAAGAAAAACAAAATTACAAACAAATCAAACAATAATAATGGGTTCTAGGAAGAAAAAACCATGACAGCTTTTGGTACTATAATTAACTCACAAAAATCCCAAGGCGAATCCAATTATTGGTGTGACTGGTTTTGCATGGCAAATCCATATTCTACTAGCTCAAAATTAAACATTCATTTCCATTCTTTATAGATTCAGTTCCCAGTCTTTGTACTGTATAATCCAAGTAAGCCAATCCTGCTTCTGTGAAGAACACACTGGTCCGGGATACTTTAGGAAAAGTCGCGTGATCTACTGAGAGATTCCTCTTCCCAAATGTGCCTAAGACAGACTACTATAAAATTCTGCTGTGTCTAAATTAAGATTTCAGTGCCTTAGAAATCTAAATGGTTAGATACAAAGCTGAAGCAATGCAACCTGCAAACAGAAACCCAAGTCAGGACACAGTTTAGTTTAGTTTGGTTCTGTAAGAGGTTATTTGCTGCACCTTCCGAACTGACTTCTTCATTTGTTCAATGGTGATGTTAAGATTGTTCTCCACTGGAATTAACTGGCTCAGTTCTTGCTGTTAAATATTGTACATTATTTTATATAGTGAAACCTGTACAAAGAGACAACCATCAAGAGACAACTTTCAGCTTTAGGAAAGAGCATCCAAATATCCACAGACAACATGGGTAAAAACACTTTCACATCCACTGAAAAACTGGTTTTTTGACAGCTTCTAAGCCATTGTTTCTACGACATGGAAAGCTGATAGGATTGTGAAAATCTGAACAATTTCCTTATGCATATAAAACTAATGTTGGTTTTTTATTAAATTCTACACTCAACATTACATTTCACAAACTGATCAAAAAAAGGACTGAAAGAGACAACTTGTATTGCATTACTGCAAGACCATTCCTGTTTAAAGAAAGTTTTTGCATTATTTGTATTTAGTAAATAAAGCTTCTGTAAATGAAGCAGCAGCACAATATCAGGAGGAAAAAACCCAAACAAAAAGGCCTGTAATAATGTTTAAATCTTTAAATCAATAAAAACCAAGATCCTGGCTCTGCAAATAAACCCCTCAAAAGGCACCAAATAAACCAAGAAGTGGAATTACAATATCCTTTGAAAAGGCCTTAATGAAATTGTTAAGTAGTGTGAGAATTTGAGAACCATGTGAAATATCTTTATTATAGCATACTCACTGTCTCAAATCTCACTGTACTTGACTGTCTGTATACCCTAAAGCCAGGATTGTTCAAAGGTATTATAGAGAAATTCAAGAGAAAAACATTTGTCCTAATGAGAACACTCTAACACTAGTTCTCTCAACAAAATCCAAAACTTCACTCTTCTACCCACCAAATGCTACAACAGTCAGTGAGGTACCTCATTAGTAAGCCATCTCCATCATGTCATCTTGCTTCCTATACAGCACAATTAAAAATAAATGAAACTTACAATTACAGGCAAAAAGAATATTTGAATTGGGAAGCTTTGTAAAAATATGTTTACTCAATCACCCACAATTTCAGTAATATGAATTAGATTCAGCAGTTAGTAAATTAGTGTGAGTCCAGCTAAAGCATTTGGGACAAATAGGAATCTCAGAAGCACTCATATTTCCCTAATTTCAGTGGACACCATGAGTGTTTAGCTGATGGCAAAACTTTCCTGCTGTGCTTCCCAACTTGAACATAAGCAATGCAAACTTCTGTTTTGTGTGTGAACATTCATTCAGTTGCTGGCAAATCACTAGAAAAATACCTTACTGATGTCCTCTTCTTCAAGAAGAAAGGTAAAGAGTCCTGGTCTGCTCTCTGCTTCCAATAAACAGCTTATGGTAATTCCTAAAACAGCTCCTAAGAGACTCAAAGGGATACCCGTTTCAAGCAAAGCCAGCAATGCAAACTTCTGTTTTGTGTGTGAACATTCATTCAGTTGCTGGCAAATCACTAGAAAAATACCTTACTGATGTCCTCTTCTTCAAGAAGAAAGGTAAAGAGTCCTGGTCTGCTCTCTGCTTCCAATAAACAGCTTATGGTAATTCCTAAAACAGCTCCTAAGAGACTCAAAGGGATACCCGTTTCAAGCAAAGCCACAGTATTTCACATCTGAGCGGTTTGTTCAACTCCTGCCACTTCCTTCACAGTCTTTCAACCTAAGTTCCAACTGCTGACATTTTAAATAAATCTGTATCAATTTGTTTAATGAAAATATATTTTAGTAAAACCGTGCTCTATGAGCTTCCTACATTGGAATACATGAATACAGGAAGTGCTTTCAACAGAAAGTTACATAGTTTTACAGTACAACCTGTCTAAGGAGTTTTGGAAGGGACCAAACTAATGATCTGGTCTCTTTGGATTAGGCAGAAGTACAGGCAAGAGGGAAAAACCCAATTTATGCCATATATAGAGCTCGTTCCTGTCACAGATTGAAGAAACATTAGTTTGATGTCAAAGTTCACCTGATGCCCAAATGCTAGTATTTTTCAAACCAACTGCATATCAAAAAACGAAAACTTATTTGTACTAAGCTCCTGGAAAGAAACTCAGTGTAAAACAACAGTATACTCCTAAATGTTCTTTCACCAGTGTTTGGTTGTTGGTTTTCTTGATTCTGCTTTACAGACCATTTTTCTCAAAGTGCAAACTATTGACCTTTAATCTGAATGCAGGCAGGTCCGAAGCTACAGTATTAAAGCAATACAAAAAGTACACAAGGAGGAGCTTACATAAAGTTCAAGAACCTTACACAAAATATTTCTGAATTGAAAACCACAAAACAAACCCAAACAAATACAGCATCAGGTGGATGGGGAAGGGACCGCTAACATTATCTGTGCACAGCAAGGCTTCTCTGACACCGAGGAAGTGTATGACACTAAGTGAAGATTCTATATTAAATCCCGCCAGTTTGCATCTTGTGCATTCATTACGATGGAATGTTGACCTCAATTTTCGGTTTTCACTCCCACAACACATCTGTTGATCGTGACCGGGGATGATCATCTTCTTGGGAGAACAAACTCCCTTAAAACCACAACTGCACTTTCTACCATCCATTAGGATTCTAGTAAAGTATGCCATCTACAGACTTGCTGTCCTTTAGATTCCTTCATTTCAGTCCAGTGATTGAGTTCATCTTCTCCTGAGCTGTTGAGACCTAAGGAAATCCACCCTATCATCTCTTTCCGTTTCATGCTGCGCTTATTATATACAGACAGTATGAGCGTCACATCTGAAAGCTGAAACAGTGCCACCTGGAAAACGAAGGTTTCTTTGTATACTGGATTTGGCTGACCTCGGCGGATGGAAGTTTTGCATTTGGACATCTCTTGCCCCATCGAGTTCAGCAGCGTTAACTTAACATATGTATCTACAAAATAAATCACATTTTGGAATGTCAGATATCTCAGAACAAACGTTTTGGAGAATGAGATATTTACAAGAAACAAGGATATGGTGTATACCAGGCTGACTGAACACAGCTCAGTTTAGACACATGGGAAGATGACAAGTAAGCAAAATATTACAAAAGCGCTAACAAATGAACTAGCTTCAGTACTATGTACGTGGGTTAAGTCAAAGGTATACCTCATAATCCTCTTCCTGTTGAACCCCCCCCTTATTTAGTGTAAACCAACTTAAATTGCACTAACACTTAGCAAGCTCCAACTAGCCACAACACCGTGAAGCATACCACTGAATTTTCAAAGAATGTGAAAAAACAAAGTGGAAGAAAGGCAACTAATGAAGAAAAAAAAATAATTTCGATATCCAGAGATGATATCAAAACAGCCAGAAGAAAATGCTTAAGAATAATCTCTGCATGGATGTGGTTCTCACTTCGGGCTTTTCCATTTTATCCAGAGTGTAGCAAAGTGCATTCAAAGATGGACATTTACACAATACAGAAAACCTATTACTTCCTAGATTCATGAAGGAATACATTTAGTACGTGTTTAAAGAGAAACAAGTTTTTGCATAATTCAAGATGGTTGTTTAAAATCTAGCTTGTAGAGTGCTCTGAAGTAGTACCTTTAGGAAGCTGATGCAAGTAATGTAGTTAGCACACATTATGTGTTACAATTTGGGTACCTTATTTTTATTTGTAAAAATTTTTAACCTTTTAATTAATTTTAAATTAATTTAAATGAATTCTATTATTATTCATTTGGAATCCTTATTTTTAAAGCTCTATTTTCATTTGACCAGAAGCACCAAGTCACGCTCCTGCAGAAGGATGCAACCTTCATGAAGTTAACTGATTATAAGAAATACCAAACTGTATGAACCAATCTTGTTTTTCATTCTTTATTTCTGTCATACTCATGTTAATGGATAATATCAATAAAAGACTGGGGTGCATGCAAAGCAAAACACATTGAATATTTTTACTTTGCAGGTACACTGAGATCCCAACATCCATGATCAGAGATAAATGCAACTCTTGCATTAGAGAATGCCACAAAAAATAAACATACACTTTCATAAAATGATATGGTAGGCAGCCGTGGGTATTTTACTGCTGGCAAGTTTTCTTTTGCATGAAAAAGACAACATCCAATTAGTTTCTACAGGAACTCACCTCGGATTATATAAACCTGTCCACCTATCAAGTGTTTTAGACAACAGAACAGTCCGTCTGACAACAGGGGGTGGAAAGCAGTAAAAGAAATAATGACCAGATGTCAATAGTTGGGTGAGAGAGGATCAAAGGTTAAAGTTTAAGAGGAAACACTATTCACTGCAGTGGAAGAACATGAAACCTTGGCAGCATAGATCAGAAAAAGGACCGAACAAAAGGATTGTTAGGTAAAATTTAATGAAATGAAAATTTTGTGCAGTTTTTGTGTAACAAAAATTACACTGCTGACATAATGGGTTACCTTAGCACTAATAGCCACTGGGTTCTAAACCACACTCAACATAGCAAGAATCATGCAAACAATTAGGTTATAGCAGACTGGGTAAAAATCACTGATCCTTTTTATCAAACCTTATGCTTTTTCATGCAAACTCCAGCATACTTAGAAAAACTGCACATAATAATTAAACTTCATATATTAAAAGCAATAAAATGAAAAATCACTGAACTGAAAACTAAGTTCATTTTTCCCTTAGCTTTTATAGTTACTGATATTTGATTGCAATACTTTAGTTCTTGAGCAGTGAGGAACTCGGGCATGGGAATGACTCTGATCTAATCCCTAAAAACAGCTGAAGGACACTTATATCTGAAATTCAACTATGGGTCTCCATTTAAAATGTAAATATCTCGCTCATTATAATCATGTATTTATGGATTTCATGTGTGTGTGCATGCATACACACACATGCATTTAATATGCAAAAGCTTGTACCCTGTTTCAACAAAACTGTAAAGAATACTAAGAAGCCTCTTTTTCTCAGACAAAATATTAACTGTCACACAGAGAAACGAAGACACATTCTAACATCCACTGGTCCTGCCTGCAGGATTTGGCCTATTTGCCTGTACTCCATTGCTAAATGAGTTACTATATAACATATAAATATGCAGCAGAGGAGTATGTACTACCAAGAAGTAGAAATTTAGTATTCAGTTCATATTTGCTGCAGAAGCAATTCACAAAAATTCATAGGTTCACAAACCCTAGATGACAGAAAGGAGTGCATGTGGGAAAGAATAATTGCTTCCATTTCTATCATAGTTTCTCAACACATGAATGAACACACACATACTTGTTGTGTATGTGTGGTACATGGCAGTGGTAAGCGCCTGGGTCCATGAGTTTACAAGAAGGTACTACCACTGCTGAGATGAGGGGAAGGGGATAGCACAAAACAGCCCACAGGGGAAATCTGGATTCCACAATATTCTGTGCACAGCCTTACCAGAGCCAGAAAGTGCATCAGTTTCCAGCTTTCTAGAAACAACACAACTCCAAACCCACATTTGCCTAAACAGAACTCTACTATTATTGTTATGAATGTCAAAAGTTCCCCCTATCCTTTACAGGGGACGACAAATGGTAACATGCAACATCTTCCCACCAAAAAAGGTTAGTCAGAATAAGATGTTACAGGGCTGTGTGCTATGTTCTATGCTGCTTTCTTGAAATCTGAAACAGATTTTAGACCCCAGTGACACACAAAGCTGTTGCCTAGAGAGCATGGACCCACCGAACACATTTTGGGAATTAACATTGTTGCCTAGAGAGCATGGACCCACCGAGCACTTTTTGGGAATTAACACACTAGGGAACGATCACCTCTGTCCTCAAAACAAGTATTGAACCCCTCTCCTAACTTCTATATTCTCAATATTTAGAAAAATTTCACTTTCACTGAGATTCCAGAAAGATAAGCATACGCCATCTACTGTTTTTGCTTTAATGGAACACGTGGTGGTCCCTTCTCTCCAGGTCTTCTCTCCCTTTCATTCTTTCCCTCCCGCCGGTGTCATTGGACCTCCTTGGCTTTCGTCATCTATTTCTATGCTTTGTCTCCAAATAGGTGACTCTGGGGCTGCCACCTAATTATATAAAAGTATTAAATTTGTCTTTCACCTTCCTTCTCTGGCCGTGTTAACAAAGTCTGGCTCCATCAGTGTGAAAAGTATAGAGAAAGAAGAGTAGAGTAAGGTGAGACAATTAATAGAATAAACAGGTCAGGAAAGCAAGAAAGAGGAGAGAGCATCAGCCTCGAATTGTTTGGCTTACTTCCTAAACTCTGAAGACAGTGAGATGTGCAAACCACTTACAAAATGTTGGCAGCCTGATACATAATCCGGTAGTGCCAGATAATCTGCTAGCGCCATACTAATCTGGGGTTTAAGAAACAGAAACAGGGACTAAAACCTGAGCCTCCAAACAAAATTAAAAGGAACAGGCAGGTATGTCTGACAACAACTTATGTAAATCAAATTCATCATCTTAAAAAACAATAAAAAAATAATTTTGGTAAGAAGTTCATTTCTGAAATTTCTCCAGATATATCAAAGAAGTAGAGACAGTAATAACATTCTCTGTGTGTGACATTCCATCTGTCTCCAGATTAGAAATATATAAAGCTCACAGATGTTTCAGACAAATGTATTTTTGAACAAATGCTTGAACAAACAGATCAAGTCCTTTCCTTTTCAAGTCCTTTTCAACGTCCTGGTGAACATTCCTTCTGCACAGTAAATATGCCAAAGGTCTTAACTGGTTTCTCTGTTGTCTTCACTGACATTCCCAAGTTACATATATTACCACATAAATACAGGCACACAAGCAATTAAAGACTGCAATATCAACTCCTCCAGGACCAGCAATAACTGTTCAGAGTGTTTATATTAATATTAACTGGCATGTATGTTCTCTTTAAACACTGACTTTTCATTCTTGGCCTGTGATGTGAGGCATTAGTAATTTAGCAATTAATCATTATGATAAAGGTAATTTATTAGTCAGTCATCATGAAAAATTAAAACAGTCTTGTCAACTTACAATTAATATTTTGAATTTTAGATTTTTTTGCTATTTCCCAACAGACTAGAAATATAAAACATGAAACAGATTAGTTTATGATTGCTCTATTTCATTCTGATTGGGTAAGGCTAAGTGATAGGATTGAAGTCCTTGCTACTGAGAGCCCCACCAGTACAGAAGCATTAGGATGAAAAAAGATTTTCACTCACTGGGTGGTCTGTTCGCTGCCAAGTTTTTGAAGTGGCTGCCTTTTATCACTTCTGCTGATAATCTTCCAGTTGTAGCATTATAAAGGAGGCCAATGAGGATTTCTGGAGCTGAGCCATGTACCAGAGACTGACAAGAGGAGGTACTTTCACTGCAGGACACTTCTGACATGCTCATTTGAGAGTCACAACCCTATAAAACAGATAAAAAGTGCCGTGTGTTTCATGGGACGATGTTTTGGCAAAGTCAACTTTTAGAATAATGCAGAGAAAATTATGAAAGCAACAGAAGTTCCATTCAATCATCCAATAAATAATGCACCTTCTTAATATATACTTAGTTTGCACACATTAGAGGCAACAAAGATTAAAGCAGTCTGAAATTAAAACAATTCTTTTGTGTCTCCACTGCTTCATGATTCAGGAGAAACAACAGCAGAAGATGAAGAACAGTCTTTATAGTCCCTATTTACTTCAATTGCTAAGGTAAGACTTGTAACATAATTTGTCTGCATCCTGGAGAACCTTAAACCTTGGATCTTTTGCTTTCCAAAAATGGAAAACACCAGTGGAACTCTGAAGATAATAAAATGCAAAAAAATCTTATTCATCCTTTGTAAAGGTTATTCTCTAGACTGAGAATTTATGAGTAGCAAAATAACAGAACACATGCAAATAGAAAAATGCGCTCTGTCTAGAATAAATTAGCTTACAAGGAATTTAATTGATCCAGGGATACAGATCTGCAATAGACCCTTTGTCTTGGGTGGGAAAGGAAGAATTCCATCCAAAGCTCAGCAAGTGATGCTTTAATTTCCACCCTGTAAGCTTCCAAAAATTCAGATCTCTCATGCATTCTCACCACATCACACCTTTAAATCTCTAATATTATTTTTTATGATTTCAACCCTTCATTATTGGCCTTAAAAAAACCCAAACCCTTTCTTTACACTGCCATCCTGATCATACCATGGTTGCTCCTACTTTCATTTGCTTTGGCATAGGGCAGATATGGTGGTACAGTGTAGAGTTGTACCACTGAAAACAAGAAACTGGATGGAATGTAGCCAATGGCACAGCAACTTGCTTGGTAGCCGAGAAGAGACTTTTGAATTATCAGCACATCCCTTTATGATTCTCTCAGATAAAATGTAAAATTGGATCCACAGATTCTTCAAATATGGCTTGACTGATTTGGGAACCTGGCATCACTCTTTCAAGGAGTCATGACGATTTTGTGAAGCTGATTCTTCCATAATCCAAATGTCACTATCATTTCCAGTAACAGCTGACATAGGCGTAAAATCAGACCTAAAACCTAAATAGCACAAATTCTCATCAAGATAGAAGTTAACTTTAAAAGCAAGTAACTTCATCTGACATAGAAAGCCCAAATGCAGTACAGAACCTCAAATTACTGAAGACATGATACCTACAAGAGGAAATTATGAACCTACAATAATATCCTTCTCATTGACATGGTAACTAGTTCTTTTCAACAGAACATTTCCAAGAAGCCTGGCAGAAGTTTCAAGTAGCAATCCGGTCCCTCATTAATAAACATTCACTGTTGTTAGCAAATGTATTCTTACCACTAAAGAAGGCCCTTAACAAAATTCCCCAAATTCCATCCCTCAAGCTGCAAATTCAGAATTTAAAATCTTTGGTTATTTCTCCAAGAGTTCTTTATTCAATGCCAAGAATAAATTTCAAATTGCTTGCAAATTATAAATTGCTGAAAACTAATTACAAGTATACACTCGTTCTTTGATTGTTGGCATTCATAGAACAGGAAACTTTTGATTCCTAACTTCAACATTAGGATACAAAATGGAAAGTTTAAAAGAAAGATGACTTGATACAGCAGTCACAGTATACACCACACACTTGAAAGCCTCTGCCTGTCACAACTACAGCTATTACTTAAATTTTCTGGTCTTCTAAATTTTAACACATTATCCCTATGCTGCTTATTCATCTTACTATTTTGTTAAGCCAGGAATTTTAGCACAGTCAACTTTACCCTGTTTAAGCTTAGGTCTCAAATTTGATTGAGATCAAGCTACAAGTCAAAGCAAGCAGCTGGGTCACACTCCTCTCAAATCTTCAAAGGGCTTTGACATACTGAGAGAAGGTGATGATAGCACCTTTTCCTCATTGTGGCTTATTTGGGCAGTTTACTGATGTTTCAAGAGAAGCTTAGTCTAAATCAGTTTATGACAGTGTTAAACTGATTATAATGGGTATCGGAGTAAGGCTTAGCTTATCAGAAATAGTGAAAAGTAAATAAGTGATGACTGAACAGGAATGGGTCCTGAAGTACCATGAAAGAGAAGACAAATAGCTTCTGTGTGGTATAATAGAGAAGAAGGGCAGTTTACTGATGTTTCAAGAGAAGCTTAGTCTAAATCAGTTTATGACAGTGTTAAACTGATTATAATGGGTATCGGAGTAAGGCTTAGCTTATCAGAAATAGTGAAAAGTAAATAAGTGATGACTGAACAGGAATGGGTCCTGAAGTACCATGAAAGAGAAGACAAATAGCTTCTGTGTGGTATAATAGAGAAGAAAAAAAACTGGAAGACAAATAGCTTCTGTGTGGTATAACAGAGAAGGAAAAAACTGAAAAATTAAATACGTGATATTACAAAGTTATATAACTATGAGCTAGAAACATTCCTTTACAGCAGAATGTTGAGTGCACGGGAGAAGGACAAGACTGGGTTTGTCAAGGCCAGACAAAAGGATCTTACCAGCAGAATGGGGAGATGAGAAGACCTGGGTGATACTTTAGCTCTGTAAGCAATGGAAGTGCAACTAAGTAACTGTATCTTAGTACTGTTGCACAGAAAGAACTGCTAGATGTAACCTTGCTGAGTATGTGGAGAGAGCACTTAACTTAAATGTTTTGCAACAGTATTTTTCTAAACCAAAATATTTTGCAGGTTTGAGACCAGAGAATGCTGTTTCATCCTTATTGTATAATAAATTTATGAAATTCCTTCCACAAAATGCTGTGGGGACATAAGTTTAAAGACATTAAAATAGAGCAACCAAATTCACTGAGGAAACAATCTAAACAGTATTTTACTTTCCATTTCACATTAAATAAACCAACTCATTTCATGCTGGCCCAAACATATTTTAAAAATTACTCTGCTTTTCAGTTATGAACTGGAAAATCCTAATATAAGAGAAAGATGAAATGTTAAGAAGAAAACTGAAGCAGTGAGGTGTGAAGCAGCTTAAAAGACAGAATGATGTTACTGAGTGAAAACAGGGCTAACAACATAAACCAAAGTATACTTTCTATGTCTATTATAAGGGAGAAAACAGAATTTGGGGACAAGTATGTAAAAGGCCTGTGAAAAAGGAGAAAGTGAGGTTGTATTTTTTAATTATTTTTTTTAAAAGAAAACATAAAAAGTCCTATGAGAAAGAAAAGAAACAGGAATCAGGGATGGTAAAGATGGATGGTAAAGAGACAGCTGAAATCAACAGGGCTCAGGCCAACAACTGAAGAGTTTACCATTGCAGGACAAAGTTAGAAGAAGTTAAACTGAGTATTATTAGATGTCTTCTCTATTTTCTCCAGCACAGAGTTTATTGTTCACATTGTGGAAATCCATTCATTGGTTTAAGTAAGGTATTTTGTGATAATCACATCTATTGGTAAGCAACCTGACTTTGTGTTAAGTTCATAAGCTGCACTTCAATTGGAAATAACAGCTTTACTGAAGTTTCTGTTAAGAGGTTTTTTTCTGTTTGCATAAGTCAGAATTCTAGAAGAGGGCTGTCCTGGTTCTAGACAGGACAGGGTTAACTTTTGCAGCAGCCAGGAAGGGCTCTCCACTCATCGTTCCTGCTGTATTGCAGTGATACATCAGAAAGGGAAAGCTGCCATACGGAGTCCTATGCAGCAAGTTACTGGAACTATTGAGGGACAAGGTGGATCAAGTCAGGTTGCAGAGCTGAAAGCTGTCCAGCTGGCTTTAGATACTGCTGAACAGAAGTGGTCAGTGCTCTACCTCTACACTGACTCATGGATGGTAGCAAATGCTCCATGGGGATGGCTAGAATGATGGAAAAAGACCAATTGGCAGTGCAGAGGTGAACCCATCTGTGCTGCTGAATTGTGGCAGGACATCGCTGCCCGGGTAGAGAAGCTGGTTGTAAAAGTATGTCATGTAGATGCACACATACCCAAGAGTATAACTACTGAAGAACATCACAAAAACCATCATAAGCTGCACTTCAATTGGAAATAACAGCTTTACTGAAGTTTCTGTTAAGAGGTTTTTTTCTGTTTGCATAAGTCAGAATTCTAGAAGAGGGCTGTCCTGGTTCTAGACAGGACAGGGTTAACTTTTGCAGCAGCCAGGAAGGGCTCTCCACTGATCGTTCCTGCTGTATTGCAGTGATACATCAGAAAGGGAAAGCTGCCATACGGAGTCCTATGCAGCAAGTTACTGGAACTATTGAGGGACAAGGTGGATCAAGTCAGGTTGCAGAGCTGAAAGCTGTCCAGCTGGCTTTAGATACTGCTGAACAGAAGTGGTCAGTGCTCTACCTCTACACTGACTCATGGATGGTAGCAAATGCTCCATGGGGATGGCTAGAATGATGGAAAAAGACCAATTGGCAGTGCAGAGGTGAACCCATCTGTGCTGCTGAATTGTGGCAGGACATCGCTGCCCGGGTAGAGAAGCTGGTTGTAAAAGTATGTCATGTAGATGCACACATACCCAAGAGTATAACTACTGAAGAACATCACAAAAACCAACAGGTGGATTGGGCTGCCAAGATTAAAGTGTCTCAGGTGGACCTGGACTGGCAGCATAACGGTTAACTATTTCTGGCTTTGTGGTCTCATGACACCTCCGGTCATCACGGAAGAGATGGAACATACAGATGGGTTCATGACTGAGGGGTGGACTTAACCACAGACACCATCTCCCAGGTTATCCATAACTATGAGATACGCACTGCAAGCAAACAGGCCAAATGTGTAAAGCCTCTGTGGTATGGTGGACGGTGGTTGAAATATAAATATGGGGAGGCCTGACAGATTGATTACCTCACACTCCTGCAGACCTGCCAAGACAAGTGCTACATGTTCACAAGGTCAGAAGCAACCACTGGATGGCTGGAGATGCACTCTGACCCTCACACCACTGCCTGAAACACCATCTC